CTTTCAGTACTAACATCAATTGACGTTAAAACTCATTATTGGAAGAAATGTTTGTCTGACTTAATCAACACTTAATATAAAAGAATATAGGCAGAAAGAATAAATCTTTTGGATCGTTAGTTCATTTGCCATATTCCAAGACCCAATACCGAAGCCTATTCCATATCTCTTTTCTTCTAATATGGGATATTAACTAATTTTAAAACTTAGCTAAATTTGGGACCTCCATTTCTTATTCAAATGATCGACTTTGGCCCTCCATTTCTTATTCAAATCATCAATTCTAATTTTGACATGTGATTACACTACGTTATAGTGTTTATGACGATGATTATACCGTGCCTTACATTCGGTTATTCCGATGGACATCTCCAGCGAAAATCTCACCAGAAAATGGTCGTTAACCATTTTATCAGAAACGAGTTCCAACGTCTTTTCAGATTTAAGTTTACTTTTTGGAGGTCATTCTGGTTGCAAACTGAAATATGAAGATGGTAGAAAATGTTTGAATTCGATAGACATGAGGAATTCAAGTTTCTCCAAAAATTACAAGAACGATAAACCAAAATTCCATGAATCACTAAATAGTTACCAATCCCAGTTTCGTTATGTTTTACACTTAAAATCTATGCAAAACAGCCTTTTTATGTAAGGAGAGGAATGTTGTGGCTGAAAACATATATAAAGAGATTATAAGGGGTTGTAATGGATATTCACACAATCAACAAAAAAAAATAAACAAAAGGGTATTTGTCTTAATAGGTTTTATTTCTAATACTCGTTTTTTCTTTTCTGTTTTCTTTACCAAATTCACAACAAATTCCAATACAATTTTTCGCCAATTTCTCAAGCATTCCCCAGACATTGGATAGCTAGATCTCCGGAGTAGAGTGCTAAGGTTTGAAAGAAAGTCAAGACTGTGCCTTGGATGAAATGAAGACTCAAGGAGCGAGAGGAAGTAACAGTAAAGCGAAAGGCAAAACAAAAACGAATATCCATCCCTTGAGCTCCTCCAAGCCCCATTAGCTCCAAACCACATG